TTTCTCTGTGGATGGTCCTCAAACAAACATGCTTGTGTGTGTGTGTGTGTGTGTGTGTGTGTGTGTGTGTGTGTGTGTATGTGTGTGTGTGTGTGTATTGTGTCGTTTACATGTTGTGTGTTTCTACATTGTTGTGCTTGAGAGTCACCATCTACCAGAACCAAGCTAAGAGCATTAAAAGTTAAGAACAAACAATAGAATAGAATAAGAAAGAATAGAATAGCATACTATACAAAATAGAATAAAATACTTTGTTGTATCAGGAAAATTGCACTTGGTAATATCAGAATCAGAATCAGAAATACTATTAACACACAGTGAGTGAGAAAGGTGACTGAAGAAGAAACACTCAGTGCAACATGGGAATCTCCCAGCAGCCTACACCCATTGCAGCATAACTAAGGGAGGATTCAGGGTCAGCTGATCCAGCCCTAACTGTATGCTTTAGAAAAAAGGAAAGTTTTCAGCCTAATCTTTAACTGGTAGCTGGTTCCACAGAAGAGGGGCCTGAAAACTGATGTTCTCCCTCCCATTCTACATTCCTGTTATATTGCACATCAGATAGACAGGGCGAACGTTACCACCATTGTATTAAATGTGTGTGGTCATCTGTAGCGACCATGTTTGACAGCAGTGGGGAGAAAAGACCTGCAAAATCTCTCCGTCCCACACCGTGGGTGCCGCAGCCACTGAAGGAGCTACTCAGTGCTGTCAGAGTCTCTTGCATGGGGTGGGAGATGTTGTCCAACAGGGATGACAGCTTAGCTACCATTCTCCTGTCACTCATTACCTCTACTGGGTTCAGAGGGCATCCTAGAACAGAGCTGGCCCTCCGGATCAGCCACCCCAGCAGACTACACCAGACTTCCTGTGTCCAGACCACACCATAAAAGATAGCTGAGGCCACCACAGAGTCATAGAAGGTCTTCAGGAGTGGCCCCTTCACTCTAAAAGACCGGAGTCTCCGCAGCAAGTACAGCCTGCTCTGCCCTTTTCTTTAGAGTGCATTTGAATTGTGAGTCCAGTCTAGTTTATTGTTCAGATGAACACCAAGGTACCTGTAGCTGTCTACCGTCTCAATGTCCATGCCTTGGATGTTCAGTAGTTGCAGTGTAGGATGTTTGTACCTTCCGAAGTTTACCACCAGCTCCTTGGTTTTACTAGTGTTTATCTGGAGGTAGTTCTGCTGGCACCAGTCCACAAAGCCTTGTGTCAGTTCTCTGTACTTCCTGTCATCCCCATCAGTGATGAGGCCGACTATTGCAGAGTCATCAGAGAACTTCTGCAGGAAGCACTGGGTGGAGTTGTGGGAGACGTCTGCAGTGTAGATGGTGAAGAGGAACGGAGCCAGAACTGTTCCCTGCGGGGGCTCCATACTGCAGACGACCCTGTCCGACACACAGCCCTGAGTTCTCACATACTCTGGGTGGTCGGTGAGGTAGTCCAGTATTCATGTAATGAGGTGATGGTCCACTCCTGAGTTCTCCAGCTTGACCTTCAGGACTGTGGGAGGAATGATGTTAAAGGCACTGGAGAAATCAAAGAACGTGATTTTTACAGTGCTCCCAGCGGTCTCCAGGTGAGAGAGGGAACGATGTAGGAGGTGAATGACAGCATCATCCACTCCAATGCCAGGC